TTATTACGAAGTACTTTTTTTATTTTATTTTATTTTTTGTAAGTTTGACAATAAATTTGTATGAGATCATCCTCTTACATAAATATTTTTGGTCACTTCGTCAAACTATTAAATTATCTCAGAAATCACGGCATTCATCTTATAATCGAGTGATCAAAGTGTATACCCGTCTAAGCCTATAGGGGCTATAGCAATGCATTCCTTCTGTTTATCAAAATTTGACTCACTTTGCATTTGTTCGATCTCCAATGAACATATTTGATCATTAATAACTTCGGCTATGTATAAATAAATTTTTTAAAACTTGATATTTAATCAATTTATCATGCATAAGGGGAATCTAATAAGATCAAACTTGTTACGGAGTAATTTATTTTGATTGTAATGGTCAAAGTTATTTTATTTTGATCCCATGAATAGTAAGTGAGTCAAATTTTTAGGAAGGAGGTAGTATATGTGTATTGTGTACTAAGATTTGTAAATGTTACTTGTATATATTAGAAGCTAATGACAAAATGGATAAATAATAATAAAATAAAGGAAAATTTGCAAATTACCACCCAAAAATAGTATCAATTTCTAAATAACCACCCATTAAAAAATTTATTTTAAATTACCACCCACTAAAATATTTAATTACGCAGATTACCACCCTTTTTAAATTTCCGGTTGATTTCAGGTGTGTGGAGCCCACAGTCGCTATTGCCCTCCTAATTTTTTTTATTTTCTGTCGATTTCACTATTGTAAGCTACTCCTCTCTCAATTCTCTCAGTCAATTCTCTCTGCAAATTCACCTAACTCCATAAATTCTCACCCACTCTTCAAATTTAGATCCTAAATTGCAAATTAAAACCCTAAATTAGTTTAAGTTGAGAGAAAAATTTGCTCCTGTGTAATTGGGGTTTAGCTTGAAGGTTGTTTGCGAAAATCACCATTGTTAGGGCGTCTGCTGGGGACCACGTGCTGAGTTCATTCACCTGACAATTGCTTGCTGTCAATGGCGACGTCAGAGGTTAGCAATTAATCAACAAGTTTTCCCCAATTTCAGCAAGTTCTCCCCAATTTCAGCACAATTAGAACCCTAAATTTCAGCACAATTAGAACCCTAAATTTAAAGAATGTAATAGGTTACCTGATGCGAATTCACCTCTGAGATTTCTTCAAAATGTTACAGCAATTACAAGGGGCTGAAATTTGAGGAATTTGGGGAAATTTTGAAGTCCAAATCGCAAATTAGGTTAGGAGAAATGTTATATAGGGGGAAAATCGGGGGAAAATTCAATTGGGAAGGAGAAACTAGCCGTTAGTAGCCGTTAGGAGGGCCCCACTCATCTGAATTCCACCAGATTTTGAAAAAGGTGGTAATCTGCATAAAAAAAATATTTTAGTGGGTGGTAATTTAAAATAAAATTTTAAATGGGTGGTTATTTAGAAATTGATACTATTTTTGGGTGGTAATTTGCAAATTTTCCTAAAATAAAATACAAATTGTGAATGGTGAACAATAATAATCATAGCATATAAATTTGTTGATTAAAAGAAACTAAATTTGACTAGCAAAGAAATGAAGGGTGAAATGACTTGACTTTACAATTAATAAAGTACCGTAGAGTAGTACTCCCTCCATCAGTCCCTAATTGTTTGTTTCATTACAGAAAAAAAGAAAAAAAACAGTATATTAATTTATACATATAGTCATGTAAAATTTTAAATTTGTCTCGTTGTATAAATTTTACACTTTAAATACGATTATATATACAAATCCGATTATATATATATATATATATATATATATATATATATATATATATATATATATATATATATATATATATATATATATATATATATACGGGGAGGTTCCGCTAAAAACAGAGTTTATGGTGAAGACTAAAAACAAGCAATCTTAGCCATTCATTACTAGCACAAAAGATCAGACAGTTCTAAAGCCCTAAGATCATTCCAACCTTACATATAATCAATTCAACCGTTTAAAAGGTCACTACATGCTTAAAATAAGGTAACTTCATCTAAATTGACGATATTTACATAGAGTCACTATATATAAAAATAACGTAACTATATACAAAAATAGGGTAGCTATATCAATTTTTACAATATTTACATTAAGGTCACTATATACAAAAATAGGGTAACTATTTCAATTTTGACCATATTTACATAGAGGTCACTATATATAAAAATAGGATAACTATAACAATTTTTACAACATTTACATAAAGGTCACTATATACAAAAATAAAGTAACTATATCGACTGAGTTTTTGACACCATTTACATAAAGGTCACTATATACAAAATTAAAGATCACTATATATAAAAATAAGGTGACTGAAACAAAATTTAAAGCATTTCCATAATTCTAAGGCCATTATATCGAAAATAAGGTAACTATATATGAACTTCGGGTAATTATATCAATTTGACACCATTTACCCAGAGGTCAATAAATATAAAAATAAGTATTAAAAAATTCCATGTAGGATTCGAACCTACATCCCGTGATTACACGGTGCTCGACCAATTGAGCTAATAGGCTTTCAACATGCCAAAACAGCCAATAAAAGCATACCAACATCATACAGACTTCATACAGACTGAAGCAAAACAAGCTTGACAAGATCAACGTTTTAAGGACAGAAGCAGAGGCAAATGAAAGCATACCAGGAAATCATGATACGAGCAAGCCACCTGTATATGAGGAATCCTGACAAAATGTAGATATTGAACAGGCAGGCACCAAAAATCATACAATCAGAGATAAATCTTCACAAAGGCTGAAGAAGGTTACTACACTAACTCCAGTTGACAAGGTAAGATCAAGAATGATAGAGCTCGCAATAACGCAAACTAGCATACTCGAGTTCTAGAAATAAATTTCTAAAGACACACTTCTACCATTTAACTAACATGTCCTTTACCCTGCATGTTTCAGGATGATAATAAAGTATCAACAGTTATTGAAGATCAAAGGGAAAAATTGATACCTGGTGAAGTACAAATCATGCATCAGATAATAGAAAAAGGTAAGCAATTACATGCCTAAAATTTTCAAGAGCAATTCTTAAAAAAAGACTCCAATTCCCCAATAAAAGAATATACCATCAGAGACTAGAGGATATGTATCCTCTACGAGATTCTGATCCAAACAAATCTATTCATTTCCTGTCCATATTCTTTTTTCCATTTGATTCTTACACATATATATTACCATGTTCAAACACCATTTAAACCACAATTGCAAGAACAACCATCAATGCTCTTGGTTAAAGAAAGAAACAAACAAGCTTATCAAACATCCTATAGTTCATCAAATATTATCTTCTTAATATCTGATCAAGAAAAACAGATTTTCAAAACTAATTTATATGTTTTAACGAAAAAGAAATAGATACTAATCCTTCACATTTTACACTGCAGATGTCCAAGAAGAATGCGATAATAACTCCTGTAATCAACAACAGAAGCACCAGGAGCCTATAAAGATGGTAAAACAAGAGCCACTCACAGAAGATGAGTTGTTCTTGAAGTAGAAACTCATAAAGAGCTTATCAAATTCTTGAATATTCCTCAAAAATTCCAGCAAAATGCAAATATCATAGCAAATCAACGCAAAAATCACAAACAAAAACCAAATCCAAACCCTAATTAACAGATCTACCAAACAAAAAAAGGAAAAAAATTGATTAAACCTAAGCAGCCTTGTAGGCTGTGAGAATACTCTCAGCGGCTTCTTTCCTCTCAGCACCAGTCTTAAACTCAGCCGCAAATACCTATGATAATCTCCCATCATCTTCAAATAAAAGACCTTAGAATCACCACTACTAGCAGGAGGAATAAGCTTAGTGTCCAGAAGCTTCAAAATACCGTCACAAATATCAGAAAGCTAATTCTCAATGCGAGTGAAAAATCGTGAAAGCTGTAGATCTTCTTCTACTTAGATCTCCGTCTCATCTATCGGCGCTTCCTCTTCAATCTCCTCATACGCTTCTTCTTCCACTGCAAAAATCAATCAAATCAACAAGTTGAACTTCAAATTAGTTAACAATGGTGGAAAAACTCAACTGAACCGAACAAATCAATGAAATTAAGGAAGAAACTAAAGTTAATCGATTAGTAAAACAGGAAATCGAACTAAATTGAACAAAATCGCAAAATCAAACAAAATCGAACAAAATTGATGAAAATTCCAGAAACCTTAAAACCTCAAATCATGCAAAAAATAGCGAAATTAACACAAAGAACTCACCTGATAATAGATCGTAGAGCTGAAAAATTGCTGAAATCAAAGTAATTGAAGCTGAATTTGAAAAAAGTAGCGTGAAAATTGGGGAAAAAAATGTCGAGAAATTAGGAGAGAGAAAGCAGGAGAGAGGAGGGAGAGGAGGAAGAAAATAACGGAGGAGAGAGAAATTGTTTTCGTGGGAGGAGAGAGAAAATTAGTATATAAACGTTAGATGTCATCCGCTAGATTATAATCTACGGCTAGGATGAATCGTTTTCAGTTTTCACCCTAACATTTGTTTTCACATGATCTATACTCTATATATATATATATATATATATATATATATATGCGTTTTAAAACTTGACTTGTAGATTTTGAAAATTCAAATTAAGCAAACAATCAAAGACAAATTGACTAGTAAGTTGACCAAAATTGATGAGTAGGATTAATTATTTCCAATTGATGTAATTTGTGCTTTTAAAATACAAAGGTGGAGATCGGAGACCTAAATAGAATAGCCATTAGAATGAGGGTAAATTGGAGAAAATGAAATGGAAAAACAGAAGAAAGGGGTTAGTAAGACTTTATAATTTTGAATTAAAAAGGTGGTAGCAAGATGCAATTACTGGCAAAGTTAGTTTAATTTCTCCAGCTAGCTAGAATAATAAGCAAAGACTTAGTTAAAAAAAAATGTATATATGTTCCCAACTCAAAGGCATTAAATAAAAATTGGAAAGGCATTAAATTGATACTCGTCATGATAATTAAGGCTAGTGTTGTATTAAATGAATTTATTTAAATATGTTGGGGTTAGTTAGTTTTAATTTTCCTTGATCTCATCGTTGTTGTTGATGTTGTTGGGGTTTAAATGTTTAATAGATATCTCGATGTTCATCTCCTTAATAAATTTCTCTCTCTTCTCTCTTACAATATAATTCCTATCCATACTTTAATTAAGCTTTAAAGACACCTCCCTTTCTTTTTTATTTTTCATCTCTCTCTCTCTTTTATACAGTATGTATATTCAACCCCTCTATATAATGAGCTTCACATGAACTAACTATTCCCAACCCCTCTCCTCTCTCCCCTTCTCTTCCTTTTTTTTCTTTTATTTTTATTTATTATTTCTTCCTTCTCCTCTCTTCATTTCTTTCAATTCGGCTATATATCCAAGCAGCTGTGCTCTTAATTCAGTAAGTTACTCTCTGTTCATATTCTTTCATTTAAATATAAATCTAAATTAAAAAGAGGGGGATTTCAGGTAGCGTGAGAAAAATGAGCAGAAGAAATCGAAGGGGTAACAGCAACAATCAGGACCTTGATTTGAAGCTGAATTTGTCACCGCCACCGGCGAGGGTGGCTGGTGGGGGAGCAGGAGGAGCAGGAGCAGCTGTAGATATAAGACGACACAGGATGTCAACATCATCATCAGATGATTCGCCACCAAGATCATGTGTCTCATCTGAAGAAAGCCTCAAATACGCCAGCAGCCCTGAAACTACTTCCATGGTCTTGGTTGGTTGTCCAAGGTGTCTTATGTATGTCATGTTGTCTGAAGCTGATCCTCGCTGCCCCAAGTGCAAGAGCACCGTCCTCCTCGACTTTCTTCGCAACAACAACAACGACGACAACAACAATAACAACAACAACATCCGCAACCGCGGCCACAACTAATCATTGTTATTAGGGAGCCAAGTTGTATGGAATTTAAATTCTCTCCCTTTCGTCTCTCTAAAATATGATATAAATATAAAGATATAAATACATAAGGAAAAAGAAACAAGCGGCAGCTAGCTGTTGGTGGTAGTTAGCTAGAAACCTTAATTAAGTAGCTAATTAAGCTAGAATCATGAGAGATATGCATGCTTTAAATTAAATTGTGTTATTAAGTAAGTTAGGTGTAAGTTAATTAGCTCTCTCTGTTAAGCTAGTATGTAAGGATTAAAATGTCCTGTTTGGTTGCCCATAAGACGGGAATTATGCTGGCTTCGCTCATTAGCCCGCCGCGAACATGATTACATTCTTAATCATTTCCCCGTCTTCTCTGCAACCAAATGGAATTTTAATTTTTAATTTTAATTACTATTATTACTATTACTATTACTATTGCACTTTTATTATCGTATTGATTAAGTTACGTATTCAATTTTGCTTCTTTGTTCATCCAAATTACATCAACGTTCAACACATACAACCTCCTAATAATAAATGGAAATTACTCTTGGCATTTAATTTTAATGATATAAAGGGTCTCTAAGTTTGCATGAAGTGAGGGTGACATTACTCGTTGCTTTGTAAAGTCAAATTTGATCCTTTTTTTATTATTATTTTTCAAAATTAATTTAGTTACGTAGGTGGGGCAGGGACCATATCTAAATCATCAAACTGTTACTCTCTACAAAACAAAGTCTACATGCAGCATTACTAGTCTACTACTTCTACGGACTACGGAGTAGTCGTCGTATTTATTTACGAGCGCACATAATACAAACTAAAAACCAATTTTATTATTCAATATTGGGACACTACACGTGAACCCTTATTAATGTTTAACTAATTCTGCGTCATTGCTCTATTAATGCTGCCCAATTATCTAAACCCATACTAATTACACTATTCGGCCGCAATCAAGACCACTTAATAAGCCAATTACTTTTCCAATTATTCGCTAATTAGCTACATTTATTACTCGTTTTTTTTTTTAACACGCATCGTCCCGTCCCAAATATTAGTAGTATCTCTTGTGGACCATTATCATAAAATTCATTCGTTATATGTACTATGTTGTTAGTCTAGTAGGCCCAATTCATGTAATTCAGTATTTGGAACCTCGAACCAACTTTTCCCCGTTGTTTTTTTTATTTTTTATTATTTTTTTTATAAAAAAAAAAAATCTAAGTTGGTCTAGTGGTTAGAGCTCTTAGAGTCTTAGAGACCCTCCTTTTTTGTGAATGGGGTTCGTTTCTCACCCCAAGCAAGTGAGATCTTTAATTTCCCTCTTTCAAAATTTTCAATTTTGACTTATCCTTAATTCCTTTTACAATTACGTATGTATATATGTAAACTACTTCAACTACAATTGACAGTCTTATTACTAAGAGAATTATTTAGTGTTTGGTTTTTCATACTTCCGCCAAAAGGAACAACCTTTATAATCCGTGGTTAGAAAACTCAAGACAATGAATGCACACTTGCGAGAGTACAAACAATTGAAGTTTTTGACAAAGAATCACTTGGCCCGAGACTAGTTGTCAACAATGTGCAACACATAGGGGTGTGAATTCGGTTAAACAGTTTGGGTTTGGGTTGGGTTTATCAGTTTCGAGTTATAACGGGTCGGTTTATAACGGATTGAAATAATAAGCGGGTCGGTTTGGGTTGGTTTTGAAAATTATCGGGTCAGTTCGGTTTGGTTTTTTTAATTGCAGTTTCTATTCGGATCGGGTCGGGTTCTAGTCGGTTCGGGTCATAATCAATTTGGGTTGAACTGGTCGGTTTGAAAACGGGTTTAGCCCATTTAATGTGGGTTTCAGTTAAAAATAGTTCGGGTCGTAATTGGTTCGGGTCATAATCAGTTTGGGTTTAACTAGGTCGGTTCGAAAATGGGTTTTGGTTCAAAATAGATCGGGTGAAATCGGGTCCAACCATTATTGTTTCGGTTATAATCGGTTTAGATCGAACTTGGTTGGTTTGAAAACGAGTTTACCCAATTTGAAACGGGTTTCTAATCAAAATCATATCGGGTTAAAATTGAGTCGGATGATTATCGAGTCAAATTAGTCAGAAAATGGGTAGGAACGAGTCATGTTATAATCAAGTCAAGTCATAAATAAGTTGGGTTTATCGAATAGTGGGTTGAAACAGATTAGATCATAAACATATTGGGTAACAGGTTGTAAATGACTCAGTCATAACGGGTTACGGGTTTTAAACGGTTTGGTCATAACGGGCTACGGGTCGTAAACGGTTCGGTCACAACGGGTAACGGATTATAACCGGTTCGGTCACAACGGGTTACGGGTTGGAACGATTTAGGTTTATCGGATTTTTATCGGGTTTTAACGGTTTTCGGTTTAAAACGGGTGGGGTTACTATCGGGTTCAAACGTAATCGGTTTGGGTTGCTTTCAGTTTCGAGTTGTAACGGTTTGGCTTGATAACGGGTCGGGTTAGTAACGGTTTGCACAAATTCGGTTTAGTTCAGTTTCGGTTTGGAAAAAATTGGGTCGGGTCAGTTTTCGATTTTCAAAAAACGGGTTTTAAACAGTTCAGTTCCTTTTCGGATCGGTTCGAAACAGTCGGATTTAACGGTTCGGGTCAGAAATTGACAGCTCTAGCAACACGTGGTTTCCAAGTGATTGATCAATACAACATCGACCAGGTTTTTAGCTTATTGGCAAAATTTGAGTGTTTGTTTATATACTCTATATATATACTGCATAATATAAATTCTTTCCCCCATTCTTTAATCTATACTCCATAATATGCACTGGTTGTAGGTCGTTATTCTATATCTCTACGCTCTTTTTAGTTTGTCTCATTTATACTACTCCCTCCGTCCCTGAAAGAACGACCCATTTGGGTTGATTACGCAGGTATTAAGAAAGTTAAATAAAAAGAAGTAAAACTATATTGAAAAGATAAATTTATACATGGGGTTTGTAAAAAAATAGAGAGAGAAAGCAATAAAATTACATGGAAAATTAAATTTTTATATGGGAAATCTAATTTTGCACAAATATTGTTGCAAATTGGTGGATGTTTTAATGCAAATGGGTCATTCTTTTTGGGATTAAAATTAGGCCAAATGGGTCGTTCTTTCGGGGACGGAGGTAGTACTATTTTTTGACACAATTTTCAATTCGCGTTAACTGTTGATATTTCCAACTATGCATTAAACCAAATACGAAGTATAGAGATATAGAGTCACGACCGTAATATGCACTGTTTGTAGGTCGTTACTTTATATCTCTATGCTCCTTTTTCAAAACATATTCTCTATTTCTTATTAATAGTTTCTTATAGGCAATTTTTCACGAGAATTAATAAACATAAATAAGAAATACTCCCTCAGTGTTTTTTTTTTATTTGCATCAGTTTGACTGGTACATTTGACGACATGCAACATCTTTAATTGTTAATTAGTAAAAATTATAACAAAATTACATTATGAAAGTAGACATTATGACGAATCAAATGTTATATTATATAATAACATTTATTTATTTTATAGAGGTGAAAAAATTAAGTCAACCATGGTATGGTATGTGAATAATGCAAAAATCAAAGTGACGCATTTAAAAAAAACGGAGGGAGTAGTAAAGTACATTGGAAAGGTAAATTTACATTGGGTATGCAAAAACGTAGAGAAAAAAAAGTAAATAAAGTACATGGAAAAGTTAAATTTGCACAAATATTATTGCAAATTGGAGAGAATATTGGTAAAAAATTAATATAAATGGTACATGGAAAAAAAAAAATGAGACTATCCTTTAGGGACTTAAAATTGGTCATAAAGGACGGAGGGAGTATATATAAAGATTGATATTTGAAATACAAGTTCGTTTTTTGTTTATTTATTAAGGCCCTTTTTTGTTGAAGGAATAATTTGGCTGGAAAAGAAAAGAAAGGAAAAGGTTTTAATATGTTCCTATGTTAGTTTGGTTTGATGAATGACATGAGAATTTAAAGGAAAGGAAGGAAAGTGTACGGAAAGCCTCTTTACAAATTTTCAGTTTTCCTTTCCTCTCAAATTTAGAGGAATTCGACTGGAAAGAGAAAATAAAAGCATATTTCCTTTCTCTTCTCTTCATTTCCTTTCATTAACCAAACATTGGAAATAAAATCTCCTTCTTTTCCTTTCTCTTACTTTCTTTTCCCCTCCTTTCCTTTCCTTTCCTTTCTCTGCTTTTCCTTTACTAACAATGACCGAACAAAGCCTAAAGGTTTTAATGTAATTATAAATACGTATTTAGAGGTATTAAATTCAAAATAAGGCTTTTAGTACTTAATCCGTTCTTTTTTATTGCCCCACGAGGAATTTCACGCTTTCCAATGCACTACTTAAGTTATTAATACCTTCAATTGTAATTTTGTAAAAATTATACTCTGTAAAAAGTTGATATTTTAAAAGTATATTTCGAGACAAATCTAGCTAGATCGCACATGAGTACATGACTATGTTTTTCCTAATAGATAAATCACAAATGTTAGTCAAAGAAGATTAAGTGAATAGTGTAAGTAGCAAACTGACTAAGGGCTCGTTCACTTTAGCTTAATTTCAATTAGTTCAGTCCAATTTTGCTCCAATCAGTTCAATTCAATTCAACTTCAATCAATTCAGTTCAGCTCCTAATTTTCCTCTCTCATAAAATATTCATTTTCAGCTCAGCTCAGTTCAGTTCAGCTCAGTTTAGTTCAACTCAGTTTAGTAAATGTGAACAAATCTTAAAACTACTCTATAGGAAATAGGGATTTGATCACTTTCAACTAGATGATCTAAACATTCAACCGTTCAACCCAAAAACACTTAAATAGGAATAAAAAAATGTGTAAAAAAAATAACACTAATAAGATATATAGTAATATAGTTAGATGATGAATAGGTTAAGGGGTAAAAAATTGAACTACTCCCGATCTGGAGCACTTTCAATTATAAAGTAGCTAGGGTTTTGAAAGAGGTTAAAAGGGAAGGATATGTGGGATATTTTATATTGAGTGTTAGTAATTACTACTCCTTCTGTCACTAAATTAAAAGTCTTTTTTCTCCTTAATCCTTATTATGAGAGTAATAAATTAAGGAATGGAAGGAGTACTGTAGTATATATACGGAGCAAAACATTTTGAATCCAATTAGATTTATTGAGTCTTAGATTTATTGAGTCTTACTTATAATAAATGTTGAAACCCACAAGTTTTTTTTGAACGGATTTTATGGAAGGTCGTTGACAATCTGTGATTTATACAAATTATTACTCGTACTCCGTATTAAATATAAATTGTCACTCTTCACCAGTATATATATGTATAATGTAATTAAAGTTCGTATTTGGTTTAATGCATAGTTGGAAATATCAACGATTATATGTATCATGTAATTAAAGTTCT